GGTTTTTTTTTCTGCCTGCTGTTCTGTCGTTTCGACTATCTGTCTATCTTTGTTTGTGTCTGTCTATCTTTGTTTGTGTCTGTCTGTCCTTGTTTCTGTCTTTCTGATCACGGAAATTCTTCTATTGTTTTGTTTTTTCTTGTGGTTTGCTTCTTCTTTCCTATTAATCGCTATTCTTTTCTTTAAAGGATACTCTCTAGTAATACTTTTATTTTTTGCCATTTGTGTTATGAAATATTTGTTCTGCAAATGCCGTTAAACTCGCTTTATAAACTAAACCCAACTGTTGTTTTTACCACCTCTCCCGTAAAACTCGCACTATGACATAAACCCAACTGTTTTTCTCGCCCCTCCAGATAACCCATGCGTTTATTGCCTTCTCTGTCCTCCCTTTTTACTTTGTATGTTACTCTCTAGTAAAGAAAAGGAAAACTGTTCCCGCATCCGATCCGGACATTGGGGATTGCCTTGTTAGTGAGACAACTTCCTGGACCTTCGGCATATTGTGCTAGGGTGACCTGTTCCTTTCCACACCGCCTATACTTCCCCAACTCGAAGTCAGGTACCCATTACTGCTGGGTAGGCAGGAGGGGGGGGGGCGGAATCCGTGTCCGAACCGAGGCTCGAACCCGGACTTTCCGCTTCGGAGACGAGCGCACTACCCGCTCCGCAACTGCACCTATAATATTTTGATCTATTAGTATTACAAATGCTTTAAAACTCTCACTATAAACTCAATAACTAAACTGTCGTCCCGTCCCCCCCTTGCTAGATCCCAATGATCCAGCCCCAGGTTGACAGTTTCGGAAAGACCGATTACAGCCGATGGCCCTTCACCAACAGCCGAAGCGGACGCCAGAACTCCCGCGGACGTGGGGGCGCGCCTTTGACCAACTTCAACCCCAACGACTTCGGCCACTAAAGATTGAGATCAACTACTCTAAGGTACCGAACAAGCGTCCCCTCCCCCTCCCCCCTTATTATCATTTTTTGACCCAGCCCATTTCTATCAACAGGCTCTTTGGTGTTTAACAGAAACAACAACAACAACAACAACAACAACAACAACAACAACAACAACAACAACAACAACAACAACAACAATAACAACAACAAAACAATAACAACAACAACAACAAAATGTGTAGCGCTTTGGATTTTAAAATTAACTCTT